TCCCTTGTGACAATATTCAGGGGTCTGTTTGGATCTACTCTGGGTAAACCTCATGCAAGACAAGTGCCCTCCCTGGTGTACTATTGCTCCAGTCCTGAATGAGTTTATTTTTGATTAAAAGAGTCCTTTCTTGTTGCACTGCTGTCCTCAAAGGACCTGTTCTGTGACTATTTTATAGGTGAGAAAAAGTTATTCTAAGATAATTTTAACAGCATGGTAACTTAATAGAATAGCAAAATAAGCTTACCACTCTTTCATACAAACTCCGAGATTCAAATAACTTGTCATTAAAATATTGTGTATCCCCAGGTACTTAATCTCTACAGGTCTCATTTCAATAAATTTGTTTGAAGATTGCATTTAAGAAAGAATAATGTCTTAGATAGTCTGAATAATTACAAAATCAAGAAGACTGAATTCAAGAACTCACATGGCTTAAAATCAGGCTATAGGACTAAACAGAAATGCATGGGTGGTAAATTGTTATTTAAAAAGCAAATTTTAGTTTTGGAGAGTATAGCGGGTAGGATGTTGGAGGTGCAAACTTATAACCTGAATTTGATTCCCCAGAATTCGAGATGGTTCTCTGGAGTGATCTCTGGAAGCAGAGCTAGGAGGAATCCCTTAATGAAACAGGAGGAGTTCTGGACGGATAGTACAGGTTTAAGGTGCTTGCCTTGTGCCTGGCTGAAATAGGTTCCATCCCTCATTAACAGTGAGAAGTGATCCTTGAGTACAAAACTAAAGTTAAGTCTGAGCACTGCCTTTCCACTTCCCTGAGCCCCTCCTCCCCCACCCCCTTCATCCAACACACACAGAAAAAAATAACGGAAGAGGAGTAAATGAAGGTCCGGACTATTTAGGGTCTTAAATTCTAGGGAAAGGATTTAGTTCATTAGGCACTAAGAAACTTGATGTTCCTAATCTAAACAGGGGTAATATATATATGGGCTTGCTTTCTGTTGTTGTTTAAAAAAAAAAAAACTGGGCCCGGAGGGACAGTACAGGGAATAGTACCTATTTGCCTTGCATGCAGCAGACCTGGGTTAGATCCCTGTCACCTGTTTGGTACCCTCACATCCGCTAGGAATTGATCCCTGAGCTCAGAGTAGGAGAGGAGTTATCCCAGAGTACATCATGGGGTGTGGCTCTCAAAACAAAACAAAACAAACAGTAGATAGGTGTCTATATCTACATCTATACTTATCTATGAAACAGTAAACTCATAATTTTACAAATAGCTACTTGTTGCAATGTTTCTTTTAGTACTATGACTCAATTATGATTTAAAAATATATTTTGACTGACCAAAACAGATAAATGCGACACCTCCCACACCACGATCCTTTCATCACTGAAATTTGTTAACCCTGATACTTCCACTGTAAATCTAATTTCCATTTCTTTGAATTCACCCAGTATTTTGTATATGACTTTATTATTGTATTTTGCTTTCTTTTACTTTATGTTATTATTATGTATACATGTTCTTTTCTTTCTTTCTATAATGTTCAGTGCTCAGTTTAAGAAGCACTCAGAAACGCGTGTTGGATGAACATTTTGATATCTGCTTCCTAGTGAAGTTACTAGGCCAAGTTTAACTGCTTTAAGCTACAGACTAATTTTCACCTGTAAAATACCTGCTGAAAAGAATAAAAGGAGTACTAAAAAGGCAAAATTTTCAGCTCTCTTAACCACAAAACCTTATTAATTTGTTGGATATATATAAAATGCCACACTTGTTATATATTCTATCACAGTAAGGCATATTACAATTTTTATATATTACAGATAAGCAAATGGATGAAATAAAAATATCCTACCTTCTGACAAGGAATAACCATAGTTACTATTTTAGAAGAGTGAGATAAAGCAACTCTATGTGCATTTTAAAGATCTTTTAATACACATGGCTAATTTGCCTTTTAGAAAAACTGAACTATTTTGTGCTCCTTCTAGAGGTGTTGATAATGCTTCTCATTTATTCTAACGCTGTGTATAATCACTAATTTCAAATGAATCCTGGCAAAATGCATAGGAAAAAATGGTTCCTTTACAAATATACATCTTTGAAATACTAATTAAACTGATTCTTTTTTTTATGCCTATTTCTATTTCCTTCAAAAATTTCCTTTTCACATTTTGCCTATTTATCTACTGGCATTTCTACTCTCTCCATTTTTTAAAAAATGACTTTTGACTTGGATATATATTAATAGATATTTCTCCTAATCGGGTTTTTGTCTTTTGCCAAATTTCCTTTCAGAGTCACCAATCCCTAGGAAGTGAAATAGCTTCTATCCTAAGTGAAAGTCATATCTGTGATAACCTCTTCCTCTCATTTCTAAGCTGCATGGAGCTTAGAATCTAGGAGCTAGAATGACTTCCAGGAAGGAAACCAAACACAAAAACAATCAGTGACGTATTTCTCAATGAGAATTATTTTCAGAAGCACTGGTAAAAATAACACTGAACATTAAAACTGTCCTAACTTACTTTGATGATTTAAAATTTTATGGCTGATTGAGTATATCCTTTCACCCTTAAGAATATGATATATGATAATGTTCTAAAAAAGAAATAGACTAGGAAGTACACGTTAGCCAGGATGACAAGTCGATTTAGTAATTACAGTTAACAGTGAAGTCTGTTCATCCACTATTGATGCATTGAAGTATTTCCATGGAATATACATGGGACTCATGTATGACTGTGCCTTGTAATTTCAATAAAGAATGAACACTCTTATGGTTTGGTAAGTAAGAAGTTAGCTTGGGGGCAATGCTGAAATTCTTTCTTCTTGGAAAATGGAAACTATTGAAGTCAGAGAAAAGTGAAATAAATTCTAAATGGGGGAATAAAAAAAAAGCAAGATTGCTGGGAATATAGAAGTATAGTATAAAGGAGACCATAAAACAGAAGAAGGCACTGAGAAGACTCAGAGAAAAATATATTCTTTAAGTTTATTATAGGGCAATTATCAGATCATGGTGAAATGTTCATTTAAATGACATTTAAATTATGCAAGTGGGGCATTACAAATATGGAAGGTTTTTATATTTATCGAATAAAATTTATAACACATGACATAAAAATAGCTAAATGTGTCTTTCATGGGAGATAAGCGTTGATAGAATTTTTTATATATATTTTTAAATAAACACATAACTAAACTGGACATAAGAAGCCCTGAACACTGCTGAAATAAAAAGTCTTGGAAGATACCATATTATTTCCAGGTATCCATTCACCAGCTATGGCTTAGATTTGAACTTTTTTCTGAAAGAAAAAGACAGTAGTTTTATTGACCCATGATGTTGATCTATTTAGAAATGAGGAAAGCAATATTTCTAAATTTTATTTATTCATTTCTTATTTCTCCTCAAATTGGGAGTAAAAAGGTGTCATTTGACACAGAAACAAAAACATGAGTTTGACTATTCTAAAAAATATCAGAAAGATTATGAAGCTACTCACATTTATTAAATTAATGCTGAAGAGAAGTGATTTACTTGTGCAAAAAAAAAATTAGAGGCAAAAGTTTGGTTTTCCTGGGTGGTAGTTTTAGGACCTTATTTAAAAAGGTAGCAATGAAATGTAAATAAGGTGATTTTAATAGTCTACCAGGGGAACAGAGCCTGGAAGTTTGTATTTTAGTCTACTAGTAACTAAAATGTAAAACATACAGTTTCTTAAGGAGAATAATTCGAATGGGATAAATAATACATTTTAAAAATTGGAGAATGATCACTGAAAATCTGATGCAGCTTTGTTGAATCATGCTGTTCAAATGGCCACTTGAGCCCCGTGACTCGTGATAGCTTCCCTCCTTGGCCTCATTCCATAGTCCACCAAAAATGAGTGATGAAAATTACATGGAAGGAAAAGACCTTAGGAAGTACAAAATCCTGACATAAAAACATGGTTTGCATCACTGTGAATAGGAAGCTCTAAAAAGGCTTTAAAACCACAGGTATTTTTAATTACAATGAAAAGTTTAAAAACCACTAGTTGACTCTGATAGTTTCATTTCAAGAAAGGCAACAGAGTTGGCTCCTGAAGTTTTTCTTAACGTCTTAAATTTGTTGTCAGCCTGATTTTATTTTTATCTTGATCTATGAATGCTGATGTGTGAAGCATAGTTCTATAATTTGAAGTAAAATTCAAGCTGAAATGATTTTCACCATTTTGAATCAATAATACAATTAATCCTTTCTCCCCATTTGTGGCAACATTCAACTAAAAACATTAGACCAAGGGGTCTGTTTTCTAATGCCTGGCTTACTCTTACGCATTTGATAATGGTTTTGTTTTCTTCCAAATGCATGTGTACACATGCACACAATGGGCCTATTGTTATGTTAAACACCCACACAGATACTTCCCTATACCTACTTATGGTGTGTATTTGTACATACAAACACACACACATAGATATCCCCGGGGGATGGAGGCGGGGAGTCACTTTCACATGTTCAAAAGGATCCCAAAGAGTTCAAAACCTGAACTTCATCGCATCAATCCGCAGGAAGATTACAGTATCTAAAAACCCTAAAATCCTTTTTTGGGCAACAAAGATAAGCCAAAATCATGCCCATGAGCGAGAGAGGGAGAGGCTTTCCAGACCAACTTGATAGAAACTCCTGAGGTGCAAACCCCACCAGCCTCGCTAGCCTTTTTTTAGCCCAGCTGTTAAAAAAAGCCAATCATCTACCTGTGAACATCTGCTGGCGTAGGGTACTTTGAAGCCACTTTGCTAATCAGAAGTGAGAACCTCGAAGCCCTTTGCCTGATCCAGCCGCCTTTTCTATTTGGGAAACTGCTCATCATACCGAAAGAAAAGCTGCAAGGTAGCCACCCGCCGCTCCCGGGCGACCTGGCTGTCATTGAGGAAAACCTGGGCATGAGTTGGAGGAGTCCTGTGTCGCGCAGTCCTCCGTCCTCGGCGAGTGGGAGGGTCACACTGGGCTAGACTAATAAGGGCAGAGATGCGTCCCCCTTCCCCACTCGCAGGGAGCTCGCTCGGGCCACTCCTCGGCGGTGCGGCAGCCCGGCCGCGACTCCACTGCGCCTCCGAGGGGCTCAAGCGCACGTTCAAGGTAAGCTGCGGAGCTGGATCGCGGCCACCGGCCCTTCCCCGCGATCTCTCTCGCCCACGGGCATGTGTCATCGGTTCCCGCTTCGGTCCCTTTGCGCGCATCCGCTTATCCCAGAGAACGCAGGAACGGGGCGGTGGGGGGAGTGGGGGGGGGGCTCGTCCTCTCCCTGGGTTTCGGCGGCTCCCTCCCCACGCACACACCTGCAATCACGCATTCCCCGAGGTGGCTTCGGCGGGGGAACCCCGCAAACAACGTGGGGGGCACGGTGTGGCCAGCGGAGGTTGGCACCTAGCTTGGAGTTTCTGGCGCGTCTGTCTCTGCTCACGAAATGCAGGCTTCGTGCTTTATGACTTGAGTTCTAGGTGGGTGTTCTCTGCGTGTCCGTGATGCCGAACTAGGAGCACTGCTGATGTGGATGATGAGAAGGGACATCGGAGCTGGGAGAAAAAAAAAATCCAATCCAAAAAAAACGCACAACGAATAAACTCAGTATCAATGCAGGCCGTTGAGGATTGCGTGCGTGTGTGTGTGTGTGTGTGTGTGTGTGTGTGTGTGTGTGTACATATATATATTCTTTTATACAGTATATTCATATATATTCATATATATATGAATATATATATAAGCAATCTTTTGATTGCTGTACGGACACGTTACCCGGCCCCCTCTCCCCCGGCAACGAGATGACAATTTAAAGGGGTGCAAACTGGGAGACGCAGGGTTCTGGCGTTTTGCTTGCTTTCCCGCTAGCGGTTACCTATCCAGACCCGCAGGCTTTCACCCCCTTTCCGCACCCCAGCCCCCACCAACTATGACTGGGGTGGCGGGTGCAGCGAGGGGGCACGTTCAAAGGGGGACTGGGAGCTTTTTGGATGCAGAGGTGCGTGCGGGCCAGCATCCCGGGTCTCCCGCCTCCCCGGCCCCAGCTTCCTTAATGACCCTGCAGCACGCGCAACGCGGCCGGTCCCCGCAGCCCCCGCAGTCAGTCCCCGCATTCGCCGCCGCCGCGGCCGTGAGAACGTCCCGGTGGTGCCGGCGCTCTGGGAACGCGGCCCCCACCCCGCCGCCGCCGCCGTCAGCCCCGGAGCGGCGCTGGGGAGGGTGGAGGCGCCGCTGCAGCCCGGATGGGGCGCTCGCTGCGGGGTCCCGAAGAAGTTTGTTGGCGGGGACCCAAACGCGCAGCCGGGCCAGCTAACTGGTTCGGAGCAGGAGGGCTTGTAAGCAAACCCGGCCCGGTGCAGGTTCTGGAGGGAGGGGAGGGAGCAGGCACTGGGCACTGGACCTGGTCGGCCCGCCAAGGTTCTGGGAGCTCAGTGGTCCCGGCTGGTGGCAAGGTGGAGAGGAACTTGGTTGCAGACCTGTCAATCTGAGGGAGATGAGCTGCGGGTTCAAAAGAGGAAGACCCTGGATTCTGAGTGTCTGAGAGTCTTTGTGGACTGTTTTGGGAGTGGGAGCAGCACCCAGTGAGGGCTGACTTCTGGCTCTGAGCTCAGGGATCACTCTTGGAGGGTTCAGGGATTGAACCCCGAACAAGCCACGTGCAAGGAGAGCGCTTTACCCATTGGACTATCCATCCAGCCTCATGCAGAGACTTTTAATAGGACTATCCAGGGAAATTACAATAGTGTGCCATCATGAGCCACAGTTTGAGGTCTAGGAAAAAGCAAGGCAAAGGAAATCCTTGTTTTTCCTCCTGCCCACAGTTCTAAGACCACATCAAATCTCTAGCCTGGGGTGAAGTCTTAGGAGAATCAAGATGGAAGGATGTCCAGGGATTTAGGAAAAATCCATTTGTTGATGAAGGGGATGAAGTTAAACCAAGCAAAAGGTCTTCCCACCTCACCCCTAAGGAAGGAAAAAGAAACCACACACACACACACACACACACACACACACACACACACATCACACACAAAACAAGAGAGGAAGAACTATGGTGACTCCGAAAAAAAACAAAAAACAAAAACAGAAACAAAAAACCAAAAAAGAACCACACTGTCATTCTTTAAGAGAGTAAAAAACACAACCTACTCTTTTGTGTGGCCTTTCAAACACCCTCTGCCAGTGGTTAGGGACGATGGGGTCTTCTCCAAGTATAAGTCTTTGATGTGGGCCTGCAAAGGAAGACCTGACATACTTAGGGGTTCAGTTGGTACACAAGGTATAGAAAAGCCCTTTCTTGAGGAGGGTTGACTTTTTTTTGATAGGAATATATTCCCAGGATGAAAAAGAGGACAATCTGGAGATGTTACGGGTATAGGGGAGGGAATGATTCTCTCCCTAGCGAGAAGAGGAAGAAAGTAATAGGTAGTCGCTATTACTAAAGGGTACCAAAAATCTTTAAGAGTTTTCCTGAGAAAGGAGGCAAAAGGTGTGTGGATGGACTAGGGAGTGAATTTACAGCTGACATGAGCGGGTCAGAGAAAGAGCTAAAAGGCGAAGAAAAATGAATTGTGATTGTTTTCAGTGCTGGGGATAGCATCTCTGATAGTGATTTACTGTGATCCAAGGAAGTCATCCAGAATAGATGAAATCTAGGGTATTCTTCAGAAATAGGACATTTTAAATCTGCTTTCTGGTCCTCCTGTTTATTCTCTCCTTCTGCAATTCCTCCCTCCCCCGCCCCCAATTAGGCAGAAATAATGTCCAGTGGGTTCATAGAGTGTGTGATTTTTAGAGGCCAGTGATATGAATAGAGAAACCATGGTTATATGGCTAATTCCCATTATAAGTACAAATTAAACTGAAGCATTGAAATAATCTGTGCCTAATGTATTGTAAACAATGCATTATATATAAACTGATGCATATTCGTTTCTGTAGGCTGGTATGTATGTTTGTGTATACATTTTCCAGCTCTCTTTCCAGGAGCAGTGAAAAGGAGGCTGAAAAAAAAATAGAATGAATGAGATCGGAGCTGGATTATTTGAGGCAGGCCACGTGAGGATGTATGTGTTAAGGAGGCAGAGGATAATAAGGCGTAGCAGAAGAGAGCAAGTGGGCAGAGCATTCCAGCCAGAAGGAATGGCATGTGTGAAGGCTTAGAGGTGGGAGTGAACAGTCATGTGCCTGTTAAGACAGAGAATCTTAGCTAGGGTGAAACCTGAGATGAGAACAGATAGACTGCCAAAGAGAGATTGGAATGGAGAGGCTGAGAAGTAAGGGTCTTTGGATGTTTTGCTGTAGGCCATTTGTGAGATAATTATGCGAGGAAGTTTGCATGGAAAGATGAGGAATGCAGGATGGCAATAGTAGATCTCTTACCTGTGCTTAGGTATGAAGAGTCGCTGATCTTTCATTTTGACATAAATTAGAGATAACTGTGTGAAATTTTTAAGATCATTAGGTAGAAAATGAATATAGCTATTCAAATAGGAAAAGTTGATAAACTAGGAAAACCAAGCATATCGGTTTAAAATTTTAGTGAGATTGGGATCTTCCACCTCAGTGGAAACAGAGAAGAGAAATGAAATCCAAAAAAAGTGGATTATTTGTGATAACTGAAATTGAGAAAAATATTTGAAAAGTTAATAAAGCCAGGAATTGGTTAGAGAAGTCAATAATGCAAACTCTTGAGGACAGGGAGAATTGGTTAAGCACACTCAAAGGGAACTTGATATTGTGACATTAAAACACGCATTAGTTCTGAAGTGACGGAAGAAATAATAAAGAATTTCAATAATATGCCATAGACTTCATCAATTTTAGAGCAGAATAAACATTAAAAATCGGGATACATGTTTTCTGGGAAGGAAGAGAGCTTCTTTAATAGTATGTTTCCTTACTAAATAAATGAAATAATACCCACTGAGCTTTCTTTTCTTTTTCTAGAGGTAATTGCCTTATAGAGGTTGTCCCTTTTCTCTGAGAATTTGAATTTTAACACTTTAGCTCTTATGAAAAGTATACATTAGTATTTTTATCTACTAGCCAAAAGAAACGAGAAAAGGGTTTTGTTTTTACACCTACAGGTGAAAAAAATTAGCTTTCAGTCTTTCAGTGTTGGTTTTGCAGAAGCCACTATTGACATGACCCCACCCTGAGCAGAGAGGGAGGGAGGGAGAGAGGGAGAGACAGAGAGACACAGAGATAGATAGATAGAGAGAGAGAGAGAGAGAGAGAGAGAGAGAGAGAGAGAGAGAGAGAGAGAGAGAGAGAGAGAGAGAGAGAACATACACTAGCTCCATTTCTGGGAATTGCTTTGTCTAAACTGTGCATTTTTCTTATACTTCCTATTTTCGCCATACACTCATGCTACTTAGGTTTATTTCTTTTTGATTAAAAAAATGGGCACTGTGATTTTAAACTGTTATCCATAGAATTTCATACATGAACTATTCTAGCACCACACTCATCACCCTGGTGTCTACTTTCCTCCACATTGTCGCAGGGTCCCTCACCTATCCTCCACATCCCTGTGGTAAGATTCCTCCTGAAGAAGATGAGAGTTCTCAGTTTCCACTGCATTTGGGCATATGTTATCCCCCTATTTTGTTTCTTCACATTCTGCCCATGAGAGATCATTTTTTGTCTGACTGACTTCACTCAGAATGATACTTTCCAGCTCCACATGATAGAAAACTTTATGGTTTCCCATTTTTCTTACAGCTGAGTAATATTCCATTGTGTATATGTACCAGAGTTTCTTTATCCAGTTATCCAATCTCAGACATCCGGTTGCTTCCAAGTTTTGGCTATTGAGAATAATGTTGCAATGAACATTGGAATGCAAATGTGTTTTCTGAATAGAGTTCTGTAGATGCTTAGAAGTGGAATTACTGAAATTACTAGATAACTTCCTAGTTTTTCCTAGTTTTTCGTATTGTTCATATTTTTTTTCCATCATACCTGGCAATGCACAGGGGTTGCTCCTGGCTCATACACTCAGGAATTACTCCTGGCCATGCTCAGGGAACCCATATCGGATACGGGGAATCAAACCTGGGTCGGCTATGTGCAAGGCAAATACTCTACCCTCTGTGCTATCACTCCAGCCCCTA